TATTTTTGCTTATTTTGACTAATCATAATTCGTAACTAATTATTTTCGAATTTTCAGTACTTATTAGAAATTCATTGATTTCAGATTTTTGATACTTACAAGTTTGTAATAGAATTTCGCGAAATCGAACCGTTCATAAACATGCTATTACTACGTATGCGAGGCAGAAGTGGTCAATCAGAACGTGAATTACAAGTTTTAGATCGGTAGTTATATCGGTAGTTGCTGTTATCATTGTGGTGTGAGTTGGTGTTTTGTTGAAAAATTGTGATTGCTTCTGTTAATTTTATCGCTAATACTGCTTCTTTACCATTAATTATCATATAACTTCCATTTCTGCCATTAGGTACAATTTGGTATAATTTATTTGCACATTTTGTTACGTATATATATTTTCACGTTTTTGTAATTTTTGTTTTGTTGCATCTTTCTTTTTTTTTAATAAATATTTATTCATTGACTTTAGTTACTTTTTTAATGCTACATTTTGACATAATTTGCTCGAAACTTAATTATAATAATTGATCAATTTTCAAAATTATTATAAAAATAAAATTTAATGAGCAAGCCAAAATTCTGCTCAGCGAAATTTGTTACAATGAGTTGCTATCATACTGAATCTCCAATCAATTTTTTTGAACTGGTATAAACAATAGACTGATTAATTAAAATAAGATGTGTGAGTTGTTTGAAATTAGAATATTTGCTAGATCAAATTTACGTGTTTAGTTGATTTGATATTCGGTAAGATCCCAAAACATTTTATACAGAAAGGTTTGCAACATATATTTTAATGCATTAACATTTAAAAGGTATTCATACTGCAACCATTCGTAACTTTGTAAGAATAATTGAAAAATTTATCATTAAAAAATTTTTATTCTTTTCTGAAAGAGGTGAGTGACTAAATTAATAAGAAGGTTAGTTCTTATTTATGAAGAGCAAAGAATGAATGCTATGATATTTGTTTGCATAATTAAATGTCATTCTTTATTTGTGTGCAGTGTAATTTATTAAGCTGTTTATTCGATTATATTTATATGAACAAAAAAAAGAGGTAAGTAATTTATGTATTTTGTGATAAAATAAAACAAACAGAAAGTTTTAATTTTACAAAATGCATTTGAGATGAAATTTTTAACCTTCTATTACTAACTCACTTAGCTAATTATTAAGCTATTTATTAGCTAATTAAATAATAAGGCAGTAATTGCAGTAATTATTATTTATATTTGATTTATTGAACTATAACAAAGTCATTTTTGTCAATAAAATATGCAAAAATCTTTCTGGTTATTTTTTCATATTTGAATTAATATTACTACTTCTGCTTAAATTTTTTAATTCATGAATTTTTTGTAAAAGTTAAAAACACAGATCAGTTATTTATTGAGTGCGTCATATCTATTAACTGCTTTGAGATATCATATAACTTGCATTATTTGAACAGCTACTAACTAATTACTATTCTCATCACTTAATTTTTCAGTAGAGTAATTGAAATTGCAGAAGTAATAATTTTCTTATTCCTTTTGCAATTTTAATTTCTTCTTTCCTTTTATTAAACTTGATGTAAATTTTATATGCACGAGCGCAACTTGTTAATATTTAGCAAAAATAACCTGACAGTAATAAATTATTAGTTTGAAAGCAAGAATTACTGTGTTCATTGTTGTTGAAAGTAATATGCGTCATGCAAAACTGTTCTAATTTATTTTAGTCTATTTTATTCACAATTTATAAGTGATATTCCTCGGATTTCGTTTACACCGTATGGAGTAATGATTTTTTAGTCAGTGAAAGTAAAAATTGTCCATTCAGTACGTAGTAATAATTATTTATCAGTTTATTAAGTCGTAACTTCTGAAGTTGCTGTTTGATTAGGTTACTTCTTACTTTTACATAAGCACTACCATCGTTTATTTGTGAAAAGAAAGTTACTTCAATATTAAAGAAAATTTCTGGTTTTTGTCTTCATATTGCTTCTTAGTATTATAAGTATATAACATTTTAGTCACGCTGTAAATGTTTGCTTCTTTGACATTTGCATGATATTCAAAAAAATTTTTCAGCTCAAAATTAATTCAATTAAAGAAAAGATAAAGCAGCATTTAAAAATGAAGAATGAGCTTAATAGAGAGATGAAGTATTAATTTTTACCACTTGATAAAAGATTTACGTGATCATGCCACGAATGATCACTTAATTGACAGCGTAATTGATCACGTAAAAATGTAAAGAAATCCGCAATGCAGCCAAGTTATAAATACGCCTGTATGTAATGACTTACTGAAATCGATTACTGTAGTACATATGTCATGCTTATTTTCTCACAAAGGAAAGAGCAAATTATGATATGGTATGAGCTGGGTCGAAGATGATTACCTTTGGCCTTCTGCCTTGACCCTAATGACCTCCTTCCCCTCGACATCTGGACGCTTATGTATCTTGCTAAAGAGCAAATGTACTAGTTGCTTGTATGTAATATAATATAATTTTAGATTAGCTTTGAATACTTTTCTGACTGGATAAAATTGCTAACACAAATACTGTTGAATCGTACTGTTTTGTTCTGTAAGAGTTGTTTGCTTACTGATCAATTTGCATATTTTGCACGAGAAACGTATAATTATTGGTAAATGATAATGATTGATTACTCTATGAAGTTTAGTTCTATTGCTGACGTATTTAGCCAATATTAATTTGAGTGAATTATGTCACGATGATATATTGTAAAATTCGCGCGACCATATGGCCATTTCCAATGATGACGATAACATAATGCATACATACGTACCAGAAGAATAGCAACAGTAGCAATAAATCGAATCGTAGAGATTATTGATCTCGTGGACAATGACCAGAAGTGTTTCTTTCTCGTGCGATGGTCAGTTCGTACGGACATAAAAGTATCTGAAATTGTATATGAGGAGTATTGTACAAATACTGTTTGTTTTCTAATTAAGCCAGGAAACGAGAAGCATTCAGTACATGCCGCTGAAGTAGTTTTCTTTGACCTAAGTGCTAAAGGGCAAAGGTTGAGGAAATACAAAACAAGCAATTATTGTTGTATCAAAGTTGCAAAAAAGAGATAATTAGGAAGTAGTAGATTTAGTGTCATTACTGATGGCATTAGTTATAAATAAAGAGTAGGGAGTCGTGTAATAGTAATATGACTTCCTATTACGGGCCGCTTTTTTCTGGCTTGTTGAGATTTGAATGCTTTTATAGATTGTAGTTCGTAGAAGCAAATAAGTAGATAGATGGATAGATAGATAGATAGATAGATAGGTGGTGGGTATATCCAGATAGATAGATGGGTGAATGTAATTGAAGCATTTGTCGTTTGCTTGCAGCTAATTTGATGAAGTAGTTTTTTGCAATAACTGTTCAAGTTTCTGTGATGCTTAAAAAATTGAAAGAAATTGATTCATTGTTGTGAATGACATTGTGCCAGCAGTTATATGAAATGAAATGAATGTGTAATATGTCCCCCTGTGGATAGATCGATAGATAGATAGATCGATAGATAGACAGATAGATAGATAGAGTGATGCAAAATAGTGAGAAAAGGAGTTGAGGAATGATGAAAATGAGTGTTGGTTTCGTTTTGTAGTACTAGTGGTTGTTGTTGTTTGGGTTTTTTTATTTCATTTCTTAGCGCAATTGCTTGCTTGATTTGTGGTATTTAGTTGTTTCTAATGTAGTATTACAAAGAATTATACTTAAATAATGAGAATCAAAATATTTGAATAATTATACTTTGTAAGATATGCAGATGTTGACTGTATTGGAGTACACGTTTGCATTATTGTTGTTATAGCGTGAAAGAAAACGTTTGTGAGCACTTTTTGATTGCTTGTTTTTGAATAGATTATTGGTCAGTGTATACAAGCATGTTATCATGCAATGCAAACACATTTGTAATCAATTTAGTGTGTATCGTTTAGTTTAGTTATTGTATTAGCAAGTAAGTTTGTTTGCTATTTAGTTAATTAACCCACTTTCTACTTTCTATCACTTCATTTGTCCTATATTCTTTCTACTCATGAATATACATACGTACATGCATGTATACTGCACCTTACGTTCGTCAGACAAATATCTATGCTTGTATGTAGTATATGCTTGTACGAATTTGTATGCATAATTAAGTAATTTATCCTTTTCTTTTATTTGAGTATTAACAAAAACATGGAAGAAGTCATTTACTCTTTTCCCGCAGGACTAATAATTTTTTGACATTGTGACCTCTAGAAGCGGAGAAATTTGTTAATGTAAACTTATTCATTTTCATTACGATGATTACATTGTGTATTAATGCATCAGAAATTTATTAACGGTTTAAGGAATGCATATACCAGTTTGCAGACTTTATGAAAACTTCTTTATATTTACATCTTTAATTGTCGATAGAAGGCTACCATTAATATGGTAATTATTAATATTCAACATGATGGTATGCATGTGTTTTAATTTTGATACTTATTTGTCTTAATTTTTTACTTATAATGTAGTGTATTATAGTATGAGTTGAAATATTACAGTAGAATAAATAATATAGAATAAATAATACCGAAAACAAACTTCATGAAGATTATTTACATTCATTTTCTTGCCATTAAAATTTTATAGATTGTGATTTTGATTGAACTGTAAATGACATACTATACATATGACACTTATTAGTTACAATGTGGACATGAAATAATCGGATCAGAGAAATTTGTAGTTAAATACAATAAGTATTTAACTACAACTGGCTATCATCCACTGCCATTGTTTAAAGTCCATATTATTCAGTACTATTCACTTTTATTATCATTTGCAACCACTGGTTTGCTACTGAAAAGAAAAATATTTTTGTAAATGAATTAAAGATAGTACTTGTAATATGAATGTACTGTAGCTCATTCATATCACTGTTGTAATTACCAGATTTTACACCGATGCCATCTTAAGTTATTCATTGCAACGCTTTCATTTTGTTGTCTAAGGTAATGAAATCAAAAACGGAGAAAGGTATATTTAATATTATGTTATGCCTTTGCAAGCATTATTATAGCACTTTTTGTGTCTGTATATATTTACTTGGGCTATTTTTGTGCTTCGCTTTTTTGTGAACTAAGTGCTTTGGTTATTAACTTATTTATTTAGCTGTTAATGGAGAAGATCATAATGAAGTATCATACTAAATTTATTGTGTATTTTCACTCTTGTTGCCATGTTATCATGCTTTGCGTAATTGAAGTCAGCACATTTTCTTGAAACATGTAATATTTACTTATTTGTTCAATTCAGACGGGTTTCAACACACCAGCAACGCTCATCAAAAATATCTCGAACCGTTGGTTTATCCCCTGGCCGTGGCCAACACTTCGCTCAAGTTTTGGAAAATTTGCAGGGTTGGTTTCTGTATTGCATGTAAACAATATGAAAAACATTTTATGCCATTTAATAATTAATGTGTAATTGTTAAATACTTGATTGTCACCTTTCATGAATTTTTTTGAAATAACAAGTGCTACTATATCGATATTTTTAATAACAATGGGAGACAGAAAATGTTGTTCATATTACACAGTGTAGTTTAAAAGAAGAATGAGACGCTAAAAAAGTTTTGAAGGAAGAAGAAAAACTAGTTGCATTTGAAAAACCGAAATTCAAGGCATGATTATGCGCAATATTGTCTTCCATCAACATTATTTGTTAGTGTACATAAATACAAGGAGACCTAAATGTAGCATTTAAGTTTAGTGGTTTGTCTGTTTGTTTTAATGCAAGCAACTCGTTTCGAAAATATTTTATTCTTTTACTTCAGGTAGCAGTTCACAAACAGCGACTCATTCACTGAGTATGACAAATGCCCGTGGACCTAATTCTTCTTCGGCAACTCCGTCAACAACCGCTTCAACGGGTGCTTTGATGGTAGGACCCAATTTCAAGGTATGAATAGAACAAAACATATTAATTGTATTAAATACGAAGTTAGAGTTTTATACATTCATGTTCTAAAGATTTGTGTATTATAAAGAGTTTCTTCATGTTTGTGTTTGTTTGTTATTATTACACGATCTTTGTAAATGCTAAAAGAACCATACTTTGTAGTAAAGATTTAATTAGCAAAGTTTCTCTAATTGTACGAATTTTTTTCGCTATTAAATCTTGACTAGGAATATATCTTTAGCAGTTCTGATTGTTTTCTCTTTTAGAGTAAAGTTGTGAAGTTTAATGGTGTGTCAGTTACAGTCCAGAAGTATATCCATATTTTATATATGTCCTGACCTTTTGAAAGCCTATTTATGATAACTGTAAAATATAATTTGAACATTGGTATAGCATTTTGGAAACAGACTCATATTGATTGCAGGTTGGAAAAAAAATTGGTTGTGGCAATTTTGGAGAACTTCGTTTAGGAAAGAATTTGTATAACAATGAACATGTTGCCATCAAATTAGAACCATTGAAAAGCAAAGCACCTCAACTTCATCTAGAATATCGATTTTATAAGCTGCTTGGCCAAAATGGTTTGCCTTTGATTGTGGATAAAATTTATATAATCTGGCAGTTGAGGGCCATAAACAGCATTTCTTTCACAAACAGATTTTCTGTTGTCTGCTAAATGTTTTGCAATGAATTTTGAAGAATAAAAAGTAATGAAGAAATACATATCATCTGAGAATGTTTAATTATTCATTATTTAATTGTTCCTAAAAACTAATTTTTAAAGCAAATTGAAAACATTTTTAACTGGAAATGTTTGTTGTAGATGGACTACCTCAAGTACATTACTTTGGGCCATGTGGTAAATACAATGCTTTGGTTATGGAATTATTAGGGCATTCTTTGGAAGATCTCTTTGATTTATGTGATCGAAAATTTTCCTTAAAAACTGTCGCTATGATTGCAATGCAACTGGTGTGTTGCATTTGATTACACCTTGTATTTTGGATTTTGTCACAATTCGGTAGTCATCTGATGTCAATATAAGCTTGAAAATATTTTAAACAGTTTCAAGTATTTCGTTACTTAAATTTTTTTGCAGATGAGGCGAATTGAATATGTACATATGAAGCATCTAATTTATCGAGATGTGAAACCAGAAAATTTTTTGATAGGACGTTATTCTACCAGAAAGCAACATTTACTACATATTATCGATTTTGGTCTTGCAAAAGAATATATTGACTGTGATACTGGTAAGTATTTTTAGTCTCTGCTGACTACTCACACAGAGAATAACGAAATGAGGTTTTAGTCTGAAACTTTAAATACTGAAGATTCATTTGAGGAAATTTTTTCTTCAATTTTGTTGAATTCTTATATCATGATTGTAATGTGAAAATAAAACGAAAAAAGCGAAGATAACATTTCAGTAAATTGTGCATTTGAACGACTTGAGTAGCAAATACAGCATTTAAATGTTTTCAGGTAAACATATTGCATACAGAGAGCATAAGTCGTTAACGGGAACTGCCAGATATATGTCAATAAATACGCATTTGGGTAAGGAGCAAAGTAGAAGGGACGATTTGGAAGCACTGGGACATATGTTTATGTATTTCTTACGTGGTTCACTACCTTGGCAAGGTCTTAAGGCAGATACTCTCAAGGAACGATATCAAAAAATCGGTGATACAAAGCGAGCAACTCTTATTGAAGTACTTTGCGAAGGCTTCCCAGGTACATTTTCTCTTTTTCAGTTCACTTCCTTGTCAAGAGCAGAAAAATTAAATAATACATAATAATAATCGCGTGTTTAAGTCAATAGCAAATTAATTACGTTTCTTTGGTTTGTTCTTTTTTCGCGACTTTTTTAGAAAATTGTTTATTGAACATTGACGCATTAGCAGTTTTAGGGTACACAGGAATGAGGTGTTAAGTCGTAGATTTATTTCATTAAGTTTCTATGAACTGTTGCAGATATTTCTGCTACGTGATATATCTGTTTTCCTTTTTTGCTCAACATAATTTTCAGAAGAATTTGCTCAGTACTTACGATATGCACGTCGATTAGATTTTTTTGAAGCGCCAGATTACGATTATTGTTACAACTTATTCAAATCGGTGCTTGATAAATTGGGTTACACTTATGATTATGAATTTGACTGGACATCGAAGCTAAATCAAGTGGTTTGTTATTTTTAAGATGGATCCACAAAAGTTTTAGTGCTTAAGGCCTCAAACTACATTACTTCCAATTGCTCTTTAAATATGAAGTGGTTTCAACGAATCAGAAATAGAGTGATACTGATCAAAAATAAATTCTGAAGTAGTCAGCCGTGTACTTCATTATGATAACTCCTCTTTTTGACACAGAAATCTTTTGAAATCATTTTGTTGTCGAATTCAAAAGAGTTAAATTACAATAGTCATTCACTGTTATGGGCTATTTTGGTTATTACTGTATTATTATTATTACATCCACCTTTTCTGCAGTCAACAACTCCTTCTGGTTCTCTTCATGCTGGCGATCCCCATAAAGGAGACGGTAAACGCAATAGTGCAGTTAAAGGACGACAAGATGAAACTCTAAAGCCTTCAAATCAAACTGCAGCTACTGCACGTCATGGTGGTGGTTTCGGTTCTACTCAAGTAAATTACCTTATTTTGTTCAGAACATCTGTAGCGTTAGTTAGAGCTTCATTTATGAATTTAAGTATTTATGCCTTACTTATTATTACTACATTATCATTATGGTGTAAATTAGGTTGATAACGTACGAAAAAAGTAAATTTTGGAGGTAATTAATTCTAATGCTGGGGAAGTGATCGAAGACAACGGTGGTCGATCTCAACAACCTGTCGCTCATCTTGAAGATAATAGCGAAGTAAAGTAAGTTCAATGTGTCACAATTAAGTTTGACTTTTCTCACTGTTACAATATGTTAGTTATTGACTTATTTCATAAATTCTGTTTGTATTACAAATGAAATAGTAGAGAGTTTTTTCTTGTTAAAGTATTTTGGAATAATCACTCGTTCAGATGTTGTTGCTTCCGACGACGAAGACGAAAGGCTGCGCAAGAAAAATGATGTTGATAATAGATGGAAAGGAAGCTGAAAGAAGAGGGGAGTAGTAGAAGTTAAAGAAAATCCGCATTTTCATATGCATTTATTGCATTTTCGCTTCGCAACTTGATTAATTTTCTTATTGTTGTTAACTTTTGTCTTTCTTGCACTAAATTCCTTCGTTCTCTATATAATTAGAATGAGAAAGACTTGATGATATTCTACTTATATACATGCCTGACTTTGTGAAGATATAAATAGATCATCATTTTATTCACTTGAAGATCAAGTTTTAAGGTGATAGGTTCCTTACAGGTGATATGTTATGTAGCGCGTAGCTTTTAAAATTATTTTGTAAAATGACAAAGTTATGTTCAATGTTAGATTTGCCAGTGCTTTCGATTCAAAGCATTTTATATGAAAATGCTTACTTTGAATTATCTCTGCTCTGCATTGTTTTCCAGCTTGATATTTTCAGACTTATGTTCACTTCAGTTCTTGTACATTGTCAAACTTTTGTTTGTTATTTTTTATTCTTTTCGCTGTTTGTTCATGACACCTATGTATTTATTTCCACCATTTGAATGAGAAATCTCGTTGCACCGCTCGTATCTCCCTAACATTTCAAGTTTCTATATCATTGTTTTCAATGCCTTTTAGCTGTATTGGTGTGTTCAGTGCATTGTGGTGCCATGCATTTGTAAAAGTTTTAAGACAAGACGGAGGGAGGGAGAAAGTAGTGTTTTATGTAATACTAGTGTTTTAATCTAATGTACAGACACTCAAATTTTGCGTACCGTATTTGAACTGCCCTAGCTGGATGTGTACCCTGATTAAATGACTACTCCACTTTTGTCGTACAGTTTACGGTGCCTTTGTATTTGTCGAGTATTTTGGTCGCGATGGTCGATTCGTTATCTGGCTGGATAATTGTCTAGTGACATTAATCGTAACGTTCTAGTCAGAAGTAAGAGACTTAGTATGGGCCATATGGCATATGGAATATTGTGAGCAACAGACAGTAAGCAAAGACGCTAGGTGTCAGAGGCTGGAAGTGGGTGAAAGTTCAACTGAAGGCGATTTCTGTCGACTACACTGTTTGTGACTTCTATGGAAAGGCCTGGATGAAAGTTACAGAAGCAATCTTGTTATGTGTTTGATAGCATTTCTCTGTAAAAGTGAACTTACTCAAAGGATTGCAATAAACCGAGAATGTGTGGCACAAATTGATTTTGAAATAAACCAGTCTCATATCGTAGTGTGCGGCTTAAAATTTTTTGCTAAATTCTATCTGTATATTTAGTGCTTGGGACGAAAAGCAAAAGTAAGATAGAAGGTGAACGAGCCGCCCTGTTTATAGACATATTGGCTGAAGAAAGTTTGGTATGAAATTGTAAAGTTGTAGTTAATTACATTCGAAGTGATTGGTTTGGGATACGGGAGCTTATTATATCAGCGCTTAAAAACGATTGTCTTATAACTGGCATTTGGTCATGAAATGTTCCCCACGAAATCTCTGATCATGTATTGCTTTCCTCAGAAAATAGACTAGGTCTTTGGTGTTTATGAAATCTCACTGACTGTTTTTCATGAATTGTTTGTAAATTTGCTTGTAATTTTATTCAGGCTAGAATTGGGAATTAATCAATTTATGATTATTTATTTATTTATTTCAGGATGTTTTGTCGATTTGAACGATTACCTATTTGTTCTTCTTCTGCATTATCACTGCTGTCATTGAGTGTGATGAGGAGCTTCGCGGTTGTATCGAAAGTTACCAAAGAAAATTTAAATGTTGGTACAATAGGTCACGTAGATCATGGGAAGACTACGTTAACCGCAGCTATAACGAAAGTTTTATCTGCAAAAGGTAATTTGTAATCTTTGTTTCTTGTACTTGAGCATACAGCTGTAAGGGAAAATGTTTGTTTATTGTTTTTGTTCGAAGCCATTAATTGATCCTGGATTGTAAAACATTGGGAAAAAATTTATTGAAAATCGAAATTTTGTTGGAATTATGTGTATTTCTCGCATTTTTAAAAATTTTATATAATAGTTGTAGGTTTGTTTCTCATTCTGATGTTTGATATTTATTCATTCTGAAAATTAGAGATGGGAAAAAAAATTTTGTTGTAAACAATACTTGCAGGCAAAACAAAATTTGTGAGGTTTGATGAGATCGATAAAGCAAAAGAAGAACAACGACGAGGTATAACAATAAACATTGCACATGTTGGTTATGAAAGTAATTTGCGAAGATATGCTCATACAGATTGTCCTGGACATAGTGATTTCATTAAAAATATGATATGTGGTACAACGCAGATGGATGTTGCCATTTTGGGTAATTTTTTAAAATTTTAATAGGATAAATATTAGTGGTATGTACGGTATTTTAATTATCTTGGTAGAAGCGATGCATTTAGATAAGTAGTCCTTATGTTGTTACGCATATTTTTTTGACGTAAATATCTGTGATTTGTATCAAATTCTTTATCACTCAATTTTTAAAGCATCTTGTGTTTCTGCTTGAAAAAATAAAATAAAATTATAAATATCGAAGGTTATATAAAATTTTGATCCAAATGTACTCAATTTCAAGTTTCAGTAATTGCCGCAACGGATGGTGTTATGGCACAAACGAAAGAGCATCTTTTATTGGCTAAGCAAGTGGGCGTTTCTAAGGTAGTTGTATTTATAAATAAAGCAGATCTTGTTGATGATGATGTGATGACATTAGTAGAAATTGAAGCTCGTGAATTGCTTGAAGAACATGGTTATGGAGGTAAGTCTTCTGTTTCCGAGAAGAAGAATGTAAAGCTAGGGCTCATGCAGTATAATTTAGTAAAGTCAAATTTTAAATTGGAGATTAAAAATTTCAATAAAAATTTATTTTGTGCTGATGAATCTGTGCGCCGTTATTAACTAAAAGTATCTTTAGTATCAAATTCTCCGAAGATTTTTATAACTATTTGCAGATGATTCAGTTGTTGTGATTAAAGGATCGGCATTGAGAGCTTTACATGGAGAGGACGAAAAATGTGTAGAAAACTTAATCTGTGCGCTAGATCGAATTCCTCTACCGAAGAGGCTGCAAGTTCATTTATTTTCATATTGATATAGAGGTCTGTCCTATTAGAAAGTGCTAGCGACTGATATATAATTTGGTATATTATGGTAGAAAGATCTGACGATGTTCATTAAGACGGAATATGTGCTGAGAGATAGAATTGCTCAGTTACTGTGAAATACTATGTTGTTATCATTATTTTACAGGATGCTCCATTTTTAATGCCAATTGCATCGCGAATTTCAATCACCGGCAGAGGAACTGTTATTGTTGGAACGGTGGAGCAAGGGAAAGTGAAAAAAGGTGATAAAGTAGAGATCTTGGGAGAAGATCAGTCTCTTCGCTCTGTTGTCTCTGACATACAAGTTTTCAAAAAGAGTGTTCCTGAAGTAAATTATTATTTTTTAATAGTTTCCGAACCTAAAATGTCTTCATAGTAGTTCTATAATTTTTCAAATTCTGTATTTTAAAAAATTTATTTTGTTATCGACTAACAAAAATTTGTACTCCAATATATCAATTCTGTGTTGTGGCAAAGTTATTTAAATAGTAGAAAACATCATTCTTTTTAGGTTTGCGCTGGTGATCACTGTGGTATATTATGCCGTGGTGTGAAAGCAAATTCAGTATGGAGAGGTATGTGGCTAGGAACTATTGATGCAATTGTCATGTCCAACATTTTCAAAGTATGCCTCTTTTTTTTCACTTTTCGATTACGGATCTGTCGCTTTTTTCTATTTAAAATGTCTTGATTGAGATTGTGATATTTTCCGATTCTTCCTTCAGGTTGAAATATATCTTCTATCTGAAAAAGAAGGTGGGAGAAATTTGGCTATACATTCAGGCTTCACTGATAAAGTATTCTGCAGTACATGGGATCAAGTTGGTTACTTTCTGTGTATCTAAAAAGTACAGTTTGTTGCAATATTTTAATATTTTTTGAACTGTTTACTTTTTACAAAAATCGTTCAGGCTGGTCGCTTAGAATTTGAATCTGGAATGCTCATGCCTGGAGAACATTGTACCGCATATTTAATCTTTCTGAAAAAGATGCCTGCACGGCAATCAATTCCATTTACTATACGCGAGACCAGTAAAAAAACGATTGCTCGTGGAATAATTCGAGAAATTTTGCCTGCTGTTAGATTGGAGTCTTTCAGAGATATGAAAACCAAAGGGTTCGAAAACATCGTTAGCCCGCAGTAATGACTTTATAATACTGCAAACCTGTAGATGGTACCAAAATGTGCTGCCTATAAGCTGCCGAATATTTTAGAAAATTGAAAGTTTATGTATCGAATTTCTATGATTCTTCTATTTCTGGGAAGGTTTATAAGAATTAGGTTGTAAAATAGCTATCATTAAGAGTTTCAATCTTATGTAAAAAAAGTAAAAAATCTAAAATAAAGTTGATATTTTGTTTTGGTATTTTCTACGATATACTCTCAAAATGTACCTTGAATGTGTACTTTTGTGTCAACAAGTTTTATTGTTATGAGCTTGTTATTGTTCCGGATTTAAGACTTAAAATGTCTCTAAAACTCAGTGCTAAGTAGATTGCGAAATTCTGAACTGATGTCGCAGCCTTGCAATTGATAGTCATAAAGTTTTGTCCATACATTTGTTTATGTTGCTTACATGTAAAAGGTGGAATTATTCCAGTGCTAATTTCTTAGTGCGGTCAAGTGCGAGAGATCACCTATGCACTATTAAGTTCTCATTTGGACATTATTTGTGCAGCGATCTGAAATTTTGGAAAGCACATATGCAAGTTGTTAAAACTACAATTCTGATTTTATTTGGTTATCGTATATGCTTAAATTGAATCGAAAATACGAAAAAAGGGATACTGTACTGCAGTACAGTATTCGTTTTGTAAGAATCTAATTGTATAGTTCAGTCTAGCATTATTTAAGATTGTATTAGTTTCAAAAATTTTTTGTGGTGCATGGAGGCGAATTTGGAGGATTGCATATGGGGGAGGTTTGATTGGAATGAGTACATTAAAGAGTTAGTTGGAGCGAACAGGGTCGATGAAGAAGTTCTTATAGAGAAGATCAATTCTGTAAAGGAAAGTGTCGGTCGACAAATTCGGAAAGCGGTGAGTTCCACTTCTTTTTGTGCCTCTGTTCTTGAGGTTAGTATCGTCTCATTATTTTAAAGGTTGAGCAACATCATCCTCGTTTGGTGGAGCAAGCTAGTGCTTTGCAAAATTTGGACCGTGTACAAGCTGCTATTAGTCATGAAATGTCCCATCTTACTGGAAAATGTGAAGAGTTATGCCAGAGATTCCAACTTCAGAATGAAAATTTGCGCAGAGCAACTATCAGATTGGAGCAACTATACTTGTTGAGACGAGTTTTATCATCAGCAAATAGGTAGTAGAATTCGAAAAAAATAAAAATGCATTTATGTACTGAGATATTGCTTGGAAATATCAATTATTTGTGTTAAGATGTGAACAGCTGGTTGAAAAATTGAAAACTACAAATGAATTGGTGAAACGTTCGGAAATAATTTGTGAATTAGAAGCAATCAAAGCTGAAGTAATTTGTCTGAAGGATCTCGAAAATACCCGTGAAATGGTTTTAGTAACAGTAAGATTATTATTTTTTATGAATCACAAAATTCGAATTCTGTTTTTGATCATTTATTTACACATTATCAATTGTTGGTACTCATGTTATAGATACCGAAGCTAGCCGTGGATGCCAGACAGAGCGCTGCGACCCAATTAAGGTCATCACTTGAAAGTCTTAGTGTACCACTTGTGTCATCCTGTGTCCGTGCTTTGAAAAATCTATCTTCATATGATTCTGAGGTTAATGCAAAGACTACTGAATTTGATTACGGAGTTCATACTGGGTTCTTTAGACTTTTGTAAGCAGTGTATAGAAGACAAAATCTCTTTTTATGAACATGGGTTAATTTTCAGGTAAATCAGATTTTGCAAGAAAATATTAGACAGTTAGATAGTGAATTTCTCCAACTCAGTGACAGTTCAGTAACAGTTGCAAAGTTTCTACCTCAGCTGATTAATCAGATTCAGGTCGGTTATTTATCCAAAATGTCCATCAAGCAAACATTAAAACGTGTTAATTCTTCACGAGACATGAATTAAATAAGTTTTAATTTTTTGTAGAAGAGAGAAGATAAAATTCTACAGTATGTGAATCATATTTTTGCAGATGTCATTGGAGCAGTATTCTTTGCTTAGTGTTGAAGTCGTCTCAGACTTTTCTGAGAAACTCGCATTCATTATTTCAAGACGCATCCCTGAAAATGCTGCATATGTTCCTCGTTTTGTACAATTTTTGTCGAAAGTTTTATCTGCACATCCGACAAAAGCTATTCAACCTTTGGATCAAAGTCTTCAACCTCTTCGAAGAGCTATACTTTCTCATTCTCTGAATAGGATGTTCAAAACAGTAGAGATCACATTCGAAGAAAATAGTCTCACGGATTTCCCTGTCGAGAATGTACCTATTTTAACTATTCCATTTATCTCTTAATATTAAGACCAAGTCAGTAATTGAAATTTCAGTTGAAAAAGATTCTTCAGATTGATTCAGCAATCAAAGAAGAATTAAAAGACTCTAATTGGGACCCGAAGTTAAGGAAAGAAATGGAGGCTAATGTCGGGAAAGTATTACAGTTAGTTGCACAAAAGATTGAACAGCATCTTTCGTTGGATTCATGTTCTCTTCAAATGGGTGAACGCCTTAGTGCTCTGCAGGTGACTGTTGTGAGAATTTCTTCGAATATAAAAGATCTTTTGACTAATTATAATTAACAACTTGGAGCACTGTCTGATGTGATTATTTTATTGGCTTAAAAATATTATTTTCGGACAATGTTAAGACAGAATATAATGCTTGTTTGAAGGCAAAATAATGCTTATTTCAGATAGAAAATTATACTTTAATATCCATGGCGCATACTTTAGCGCTGTCTTGGCCATCTCATAGTAAACCACTGATACGAATCTCACAACAAGCTGAAAAAGCGTTGTTAGATGTTGCTCGGTCATCAGTTTTTTCAATTTTAGCATCAATGCATAAAGAAGAGTTGAACGAGCCATCTCCGTATGTGAAAGAACTTTGTGATTACTTACGCATTTTCCACCTTCATGCCGGATATTTTTTAAAGTTTGCCGGTTCTGATGAAGTTATGACTTCATTTTTGAATTATGTTATTGAATTGTTTCTGATGAATTCATCGCTCTTACGACCTATTTCATTTGACAATTTATGTCATGTCTCTTCTGATTTACAATACATAAGCGACAATGGGCTGTCATTATTTAGTACTCAGCCCTCTCTTATGCTAGAAATACCGCAGTTCGTGAAAGCTTTTAGATTATCACCTGAAGAGCTATCAGAGTCAGAATCATTGCCGTTTTGGTTTGTTACACAATTGTTAATAAGTATGAGTGAAGAAACACTGTTGTCGCCACATGTATCAGCTGGTTGGACAATAGAAGAATATTTGAGATGGTCTATGGAACATGGTATCAATGACCGCCTCAATTTTTTCTCATCTCTTATGCGTTCTTATACTTCTTCTGTTATTTCATCAAGCCATACGGAGTATATCACTAATTATCCATTAATCATGAATGTTCTGCAGAGAATTGCCGCTAATAATTAATATTACTGTAGCGTTTTGATGATTTGTTCAAGGTGTTTTTCTGTGTTAACATGTTCCTTTTGCTTGTAAAATAGATGTTTTATACTGATATACTTCCTGCGGATAATTACGGTGTATGTTTAATTGAATTAAATTATTATTTTCTCAATCTCACTCTTTTTTGCTCTGTTCCAGTAAATGAAATACTGTTATTAATTCATTATAGAAGTTAGTCATGTGAGGAGAAGAATATCCATTTTACCGATTTTACTGTGTTGATTCCGATTACCGTTGAGTAAAAACCAAAATGATTTCAGGGGCGTGAAATTGATCAAGAAGAGTAACAGGCTTGAGTAGCTGAAGTTGATTAGTAATAGAAGACTAGAAATGTCTGGAGAAGGTTTGCTCTTGACTAATTTGTTATTTTGTATTTTCCCGAAAAATTTGTTATGTGGAAACTCTGTTTTGGATTGTAGGCTTTGGCATAAAATGTAATGTAATGTAAATTCTTTAGATGAAACTAAAGAAGTAGAAAAAAAAGATGGTGACGATGATGAATGGGAAGAGAAAATTGTGGTGTTAGAAATTATTGGTTTGATGGATGTGGATAGAGCAAAACAGGCATTGAATCGAGGGGATTGTGTGATTCGCAGATGTGAAACGGAGAATCCGATTGTACAAATTGGTAGTGCCCTTTTCACAGCTGAATGGGATGGTACTGTGGGCACTGATATGATTTTTAAAGTTGAAGATAAGAAGCTTTGTTTAGCTGAGTGTGCAGATGTTCGATTGAAGGCTGAAAAGGCGCTGATTACTAGTAATGATGACAATAAATAATATGCATAAATATTTGTTTTTAACAGTTTTCAAGCTTTTTTTCACGTCTACACCTGATGCGATTTCTGATAGTAAACATATATACATATAGTATAGTAATAGAAAATATGTAGTCTCGAGGGAAGCAAAAAGTTGTTAGATGATAGTTTTTTCATCAGAGGAAAGGAAGATGGTTTGAGTAAAAAAGGTAGCAATATTGTTCCCTTATTTTTTTATATGTTAACTTTGGACGACAAGTAAACTTTTCAAGGCTATCGGACGTGCAATGAAAGTAACATTTGGTTTTGATTTGTTATTGAGGTGATGGAATCAGTTACATTTCTTAAAGTAGAGTTTTTTTTTATTTAGATAGAAAATGAGATCAGGTAATCAGAATCTTCATTAACTTTAACCTTAACCTGCTTATTACTGTAGGACTTGTCTGAAAATGATCAAATCAGTTCCAAGTGCGATTGTATTTCAAAAGAACAGAGACTGGAAACGGAAACATGGTTTCGGCTAGAATTTTGAAGTAAATTACGAAGCGAAGAAGATAGGACTTTTGAATACTCCAACAAGTGCTAATGTTTAGATGATATGAGATCGAATTGTTTCAGGATTTTACCATACGAATGATAAGATCTCAAGATCTAGTCTGCAATTGCGCTTTCTGCTCTGCGCTGCACGTTATTACACCCGCGGTAAGTATTCACAAGATTTGTCGACAAACCTACTTTACTATCACTATAACTCATACATGCACACAGACACATACACACACCGTGCAGACATATACACACATACCTGCTTATAGCACAGACATGGTTGTGTTGTGGCAGTGACTGCAAGGAGAAACAGAGTACAATGCATACTCTCTTTTCATGGATTCGGTTTTAGACTTGTAGAAGAAATATCTTCATGCTGGAATTGATTTTGAATGGTTTCTTAAAGATATAATCTGAGTTTTTTTAGTCACAAGTGTTATCTGATTCTATTATGGATAGATTAAATTGGACGATATTTATAGTGAACAATCACTTTGCTGTATTGTGATCGGGGAATGCTGTACAAATATTCAGGCAATTTGATAGCTATTTCGAGATTATCTTAAATACGAATCGTGATAATGATGGTTTGTCCCGTCAAGCGTAAAATGCTGATTAAGGATATGTATGTGCTTATACCCCTGCTCTTTACTAAACACGATCATTTTTAAAAAGAAAATTAGAAATGCGAATGCAAGTATGTATACAAAGACATTAAGCTGAAAAGAAGGGAGTATAACTGAAGAATGAGTGACATGGACCACTAATGCTAGAATGAAGTGTATTTTTTTCAGGACATGATGGAATGTTGCTGTGAAAAGAACATGGTATTTTTGAGCATGCTCTGTCCATGTTTTTATAGCTGAAGGTAAAGATGGTAGTGAAGGAAGTTTACTTTCAGTCGTTATGTGCTTGGTTATACTTTATGTATAGATGCGATGTAAGTCAAGGAAAGAGTTCGTCATTTATCATATTTAATGTCCTTGCGTTGACGTAAGATTTGATTCTTTTTCAAATAAAATTAGCTTTTTTATCATTATAATTGAGGTAATCAATCGTAGATAAATATTTGGTGGTAGGAAAGTACAAAATGATAAATCTGTTGCGTTGTTACTTCAGGCTGACTTCACGGAAAAACGTGAAAGTGAGTGAGTGAAAGATGGCGTCTTTCAGGCACGTGTCGAGGAGAGAAAGGAGGAGAGAAGAGAAAGAGAAAAAGGGAATAGCGATCGATTTATAATGAAGTTGTATGTATCCTTACTGCTTCCCAATACATCTATCTCCCTTCGTGTCGCATACCAGCAATTCAGCCCGTATATTGTGGGATTCATCTCTCTATAGATCTTGGTCGTGAATATGTTCTAGTAACACCTATGTGTTCGCTAGTACTCTTGTTTTAGAGAAGTAATTTAGGGTATGGAAAAGTAAAAACTTTTGTGCAAATCATTATTTCTCACAGCAAACCTATTGCTTTTCGTTCACTTTCTATTTGATTTGTAGCACTGAAGTTTTTTAAAATTACGTGTACGGCTTACGTTACTTCAATTCTTTGTTGCGTCACTCATTAGGATCACATATAGAACTCACTTGACCTTGTTTTGGGGTCCATAAACTTATGTATTGTGTTGTAGCTCACTTCACTACAATGTTCATATGTTAATTTTTCTGTTTCCTTATTTTATGCAAACTATTGCTCATGATGAATTCTTTTAGCTATAAATATGGTAGTTAAGAGATTCAAATCCATCTTTCATGTCATTAATTATATATATATATATATGGTACAAAAGGGAATTGCTTCACATCTTTTTGTTAGCAATTTGACATGTTGTTGAGTGAATAAATGTTTCTTTTATTTCCAGTAAAATTTAGTAAAGTTATACAATACAAACGCTATTGACTTTTGCTACTTGTTTAGAAACAAGGAATGTTTTTTATTTCAAAACTATAGGTTGGAGCAGTTATAGTGCCATCTGAAAGTACTATTCTTTGCATTTTCGCAGGCGCTCACTGGAGCTTTGTAAAATACTTTATATTTCATTTGTGTTTTTGTGTTTCAGATTTTCTTCTACTTAATGCTTCTGTAATTCATGATTTTTGTGTCCGCTGTTGGATACGGGAAATGAGCATCGCCTTCATTGAACATCGAGTATTAGTAGAAGAAATGGAACACTCGAAAGATTTAACTGAAATAGTAAGTATACTTAGGTCATAGAGCAAGGACTCGTAATATATGGGAGATTTTATTATTAATATAGTAATAGTGCAAAACAAGTATGAAAGCAGATTAAAATTACTTTGAATATGAAAAGTCGGATGAGATATTTAAGAAGGGTTTGTTCCTCCGTAAAATCAGTTTCAAAAAATCTTGTGCGAAAATTTCAATATTTCTAAATGTGTTTAAGCTTGCAAAAAGAAACATACGTACTTTTTAGTTGTTAACTATTTTCAAGAAGATATGCTAGTATTTTTTTATCTTTATAAACTTCTGTATGAGTGTCGCTTATTATTGCGGGACTGAACCAATCAAAGAATGAGCGAAATTTCGGCTTTCTCCGATTAAACTTTATTTAAATGTAAAAAATAAGGAGGCAGATGCATTTGAAAGACCTAAATTTAGGATAAGGAGACAGAATTTCGGTTTTTTTTTTTTTGAGAGAGACCTCCTTATTTCAGTAAATGAAGTTAGTGTTTAGTAAGAAACGTATTAGATTGTTTCAAGTAAATTTATGTTTTAACATGTTACCAATTTATGACTGAACAGAGACAGTAGTAGTGATGCATTAGACTAATTGAATGATTGGATTAAATATAGATTTGTGATAGAAAAATTGTTGTCAGATGATTGGTGCAATTTTGTCGTTTTACATATGAATTGTTTAAAACTGTTAATTCACTGACTGACATAGGTTACGATTTTTTACCATCGTCATTTGAGTTTTTTTTGTTTAGGTTGATATGGAGATCGATGACAAGGACGAATATGAAATTACTTCAGACATTAATGAGGTCGCAAATGTTAGTTTCATCACTACTAATTCTCTCGCTCGAAGAGATGTTGAGAATGATAAACCAAAGCAAATTGTACTCGGCATGAATACTCAGAGATGCATGAAAAATTCAAAAGGAAAGAGGAGACGATCAAGATGGGATGTTGGGCCAATCTTTCATGCAAAATCCAGTACTGCCTCAGACTCAGATTTAGATGCGAAAAATGTGGAGATGTGTATTGCTAAACAATATGAAAAGACGAACCTCTTAGTTAATGAAGAAAAAAAAATAAACGAAGTTCGGGAGACGTGCAGTATTTCAGAACAAGCATGCTCGATAACTGCTGAAACATCTTTTGCGATGCAACAAAAGCATGTCCAAAGTAAATGCTATGATAAGATGGCACTGCCATGTAATTCCTCTACCGTATGTCTATCATCTGAATCATCAGATGTGGATAAAATTCTGTCGGTTCCTAATGCAGTAAAGGAGGATAAAGCTAAAGTGGCATTCAAATGGAAGTTGACGAAAACAACAAAAGAACTTTCAAAATTAGACAGCAATGTGTGGGGGCTGGAAAGTGAAACTCGTGAGTTGCCGAAATTAGATTTTAGTGAGCCATTTAATGATATGTTGGATGATACTATGAATTCTTTATCAGTTGCAAAAACTATTCCAGGGGAGTCGGAATTGGAAGTTAGTAAGAGTTCTTCTCATATGCCGTCTTCTTGTCAAGATTCCTTATTCACAGAAGAAATAATTCTCCTTCCTAACTCTGACGAATCACTATCAACAAGCGTGAAAATAAGGAATGATTTTGTATCATATGATAAGGAAAATGACTCATTTTGTAATGTGGAGATTGAGCAGTTACGTCCGGTACATCATGCAGCACTGGAAATAGTGCCTAAATCACCTAAAGATGAACTATGTCAACTAGTCACAGATCTAGGATCGAACAGTAGTGATATTAAGCAACGCATGTCCCCTTCTTTACAACATGAGCATAGTGATCTGCCAGGTAGTTCGAAAGTCAATGTATACGATCAAATTGATATGGCCAATGCGACTAGCACACAGAGCACAGGGAATTCTTGGTATGCATCAGAGTTCTGCCAAAAGTCGAGTATGGAAGAGGAGAAGTCACTTTCTTCGGAATCACAGTCTTCTACACATCAGAGCTGGGATATTATAGGAAGTCCGAAAACTGAAGAAAATTCAGAAAGTGAACGAGCCTCTTCTATGTCATCAGTTTCCTCTCCCTCATCAGTTTCGATTTGTTCCTTAGATTCTACTCCGCAAAAATTTTCTTTGCCAGATAATAATGTCTTACAAACCACTGATATACAGCAAAACCAACTTTCGGAAGCCTCTGATTTAAGTGGTATCATGAGTCATGCTATCTTCACTAATGACGAGAACGTAGAAAATCCATCAGCACCTCAAGTTTCTTCTACAATTCAGGAAACAATTAGTTGTCCACCGCCATATGAGGAACTGGATGATAACGTCATACTTTGCGATGAAAGCTTGATCAAAGAGGCCAAGGTTAGTATTCTTTATTTACTATTCATTTATTATATATGGAAGGATATTGTGGGATTACGAGGAAGAAATAAACTCCTATTCTTCTGTTTCTGTTGCATTTTATGCCAAAAGTATTCATAATGTTTTTCTTTGACAAGTAATTAGAAAAAATATATTTTGGGTCGTGCGTTGCTTCTGTGAACCAACATCACAAGAAATAGCAGAAGGTCGTGGTTGCAGCTCTGGTTGCATTAATCGAGAACTGTATACTGAATGTGGTTCACGATGCCCCAGTGGTACTGGATGTGCTAACAGGCGCTTTCATAATGTTAGTTGATATTGATATATTCAACTGAATGGTGGTAAGATGAAAAGTTGGTGAAGTTCATGTTCAATATTTTCAGAAACAATATGCCAAGGTAGAAGTATTCTATGCCGGTGTGAAGGGATGGGGATTGAAAGCGATGGAACCACTTGATCCGTATCTATTTTTCATTTTTTATTGATATCAGTTTTTTGACTGTGCTTTCATTTTGAATACGTCGACTTTTTTAAAATTAAAATTTAAAATTATTCTTTTATACTTTAAGTAAAATTTTGGTGTCTTGTTATGCTCTGTTTACTTTAGTGGTCGTTTTATCATTGAATACGTGGGGGAAGTAATTGATGCTGAAGAAATGATACGTCGTGGAAGAAAGTTAGTTTTTGACATTTAAAGAAAATGTTTTCTGGACCTTACACTATGAAATACAGCGAAAATTAATGAAAAGGAAGGGATACATTGTGAAAGAGAGTTGGCTCTCAGAATATAAAATTTGAAAATTTGGATTGAGAACAAAAGTTATGGTAATAAATTTCTTTGAGTTTACAGATATGGAAAAGATCCGAAACATGTACATCATTATCTTATGGCATTGAAAAATGGTGCTGTTATAGATGCCACTGCAAAAGGAAATGTTTCACGTTTCATAAATCATTCTTGTGATCCAAACTGTGAAAGTCAGAAGGTACGCATTGTTTTTTTCTGACGCTTCACGTTGTAATTTTTCTTCTTTTCATTTCTGGTGTGAGCTGGTAGTGCTAAAAGAGTGTAGTTTTTATTCCGTCTTGGAATTGACACTTCAGTCCATTTGTTGATCATGAAACTTGGCTAGACATAGTAGTTCACGAAAATTGCGAATTGTCTTTTTAAATTACAGTTGTCGAGTACCGAAGTGCAATGCCAGAGTTGATGAGTTTTCCTGATATGCGATTGCTATGGAATCTACGAAAAAACGATCGAAATAATGTCCGGAGATGCACATAGGTACCGAGATAACTGTAACTTATAAAGATAATTTTTTAAATCTTTAGCAGTACGTTAGGCAGAAAGAAAGGACTGAAGTAGATGGAGTTTATACTAAGTGCATTGCCTATGTAAAATATAAGCTGGTTCAATATTAGGCGCGTCACAACTTTGTTCTTTTTTCTTGAATTTTCCATTAAAAATTTTTTATTCAAGTTTTGTTGCTAATAGGTCTTTTAAAGTGAAGGTAAAATTGAAAGAGATTGATGATAGGATAATATGCTTGTTCATTGTAATTCTAAATTATGCATTCCATTGTGGATCTAGAATTTGTAATACTGACCTTGATACCCTGTAGTAAATAGTGAAAAAGTGCATGGCTCTAAGGTATTGATAAAAAAGTATTTATTGTACATGCAGTTAACATCAGAAGTTTCTGCCAATCCATAAGACACTTTTTTATTTCAATTTTATGTTCTGCTATCAATAGTAGAGAATGTATAAAAATCAGTTAGCATCTTTTTGAGACTTTATTATCGAAATTTAAGAGATAAAAAAAGTTTTAAAAAATTACAAAAAAAAGTTTTAGTATATTAAAAAATTTTTTAGTGGACCGTAGATCGACAGTTACGAGTGGGTTTTTTCGTCATCAAACCTATCGCTATTGGAGAAGAGATTGTTTTCGATTATCAGCTTGAACGTTATGGGTAACTTTCTTTCATTTGAATGTAAAAATGAGAAAATCTAGAATGTTGTTTTTCACTGAAGAGAAAATGGTTTGGAAACTTTTATCACTCATCTTGCCAATTTGCGTTAGGGGTGCTGTACAGTCTAGTTTCTTGTGAAAGATAGGATAGTTCCATAAAAAATCTGGGTATTCAATAATTAAAAGTTGCAGAGTAAATAATCTGTTAGCTTGTATCCTATCACAGTTCAATATTTACTAAATATCCAGTTTAGGCGAAAAGCGCAAAGATGCTTTTGTGGTGCTGCAAACTGTCGAGGTCGAATAGGTGATGACAGTGAAAGTGAAGGAGAGGATAAAATTAGTGATGAAGCTGAGATTGAAGAAAGCGAAGCTGATGATGAGATTATTTTATCTAAAGCTGAAGTGAGAGCGGGAAACAAAGAAGAAAGTGCACAGAAAATCAAAAAGAAAAAAAAACAAAGATCAATTCAGCGCTACAATAAGGTACTTTCTCATTACACATTGTTCATCAAAGTTTCATTTTTATACTAAGACGAAGAGTTATCTTTTACAGGCTATAAGAAGTACTCTGTCGAGGGGACCTCCCCGAAATCGTACTCAAGTTCGAGATCTTGTTAGGTTGATGATACAAGTAGAGCAAGCACCTCAGCGTTCATCTCTTATAAAGTGTATTCGATTTGCACATCCTGATGTATTGCGGCTCTTCATTCAAGAATGCGGTTCGTCTCCTCGTGCACATTTTATTGAATAAAATTATAGGCTAAAGTGGAGGTCGCACACGAGCGAATTTACAAAATAGTTGTCTTTTACAGGTCTACGACTTCTCTATGTATTCTTGGCAACTGACTACCCGATTGATGATAAGCAGTCTGTACTGCAGTTGCAGATTAAATCACTTGATCTATTGGATGTTATGCCTATTGCAAATAAAAATCAGATAAACGATAGTCATTTGGCAAGTACAGTGAAGAAGATTTCTAGAGAGGTCACTTTTTGATTTTTTAGTTCTGTTTACTGTTTGTGCAGTATGTTTGATTTAGTTTTTCCTTATATGCATTTTTTTTTAAAAGAATCATTTACTTTGCAGAGAGGGCCAGTTGATGAAATTGTAGAAGATGTAATGAGGAAAATAATAGACGCATTATGTTGCGATGTACCTTCTACTTCTTTGAATCCAATATCAAGGTTTTTACAAGATCCAGATCCTCTTATAGAGCGTTTACATTGTGAAATGGTCGTGAAAGCTGCAAAATTGATTGAAAAGGTTAATAGTTTTGATTCGTAGTATTTTTTTATTTGTTTGCTCTCATTTTGGCTCTACTAAGTTTTTGAAAGTCATTTTTAACGTTCAGTCTTTAGTGGGAAAATTTGCGTGAAGAATATCGCATCCCTCGACGAGAGCGCAAAAGCTCTGATAGTATTCAGCATGATACCAGTCGATACATTCGGGTAAGTTTCTTTTCTATTCTATCGCTCGAAATGATTTTATAGCCGCTTCAAGAAATTAAAAAATTATATTATATATAGATAGTCTAAACTGTCATTTCAGAAAAAGGAAGATGAAAGAAGTAAACGAGTGATAGTGGACAAAAAAGACGATGGTAGTACATTATGGAGGCTAAGTGGGTTTGGACCACCGCCAAAAAAACGTTGCTTTGATCGACATCGTTTTCAAAAAGGTAATTATTGAATATTAAATATTTTGGTCATACCTCGCTGCCCCTTTTGAACGTTTTGCATGACTTATTGCTCAAATACTTTTTACTTGCTAATGAAACAATAGAAATTCGTAATACTTGAAATCATCTTATAATTTGTAAATGACAAATATTTATTTGAAATGAATGTATTGCTTCTTTTTAACGCCATTGCTTTCTCTGCAACATCTTAGAACTGAATAAACTTTTAGCCGATTTACCAATTTTCATCAAGGACTTGACACATCTTGAAAACGAGGATTTCAAGCAGTCAACGTCTTCAGTTGACATATCTCGTGCTAATAGTGAAGAAGATGGATGCAAATCAAAAAAACGACGTTCGAGATTTGATATTATCGGCGAAAGGAATCCATCATCGATGTATGAATTGTACGCTACGGATAGCGATTTTTATGCCCCACCTCCACCAAAGCTACTGCCTGAATCGATGTTTGCAGCAGGTTTGCCGCGTTCTATCAATTTGTTGCATGGAGATCAGCCATTTTCCGAATATTTTGATTGGAATACAGTATATGCAAAGTATGATCCATCATCGGCTGCCTACCAACAGTTCATTGATTACTATCAGCAGGAACAGTATCCAGTAATGGGATTGGTACAATGTCCAAGTCAACCTGTGAGTCTCATCGTATTGTCATTACATTATTGTTTTCAACATTATCTTTCCTACATACTCTCTTTCTTTTAATTTATATTTCTTAGTCAATGTGGTTGCAGAATATAGCAGAAATAAAAAGTATTTTGGAGGCACCAGCTCCTCCTCCACCAAAACAACCTAAAACTCCGGAAGAAAATCCAAATTTGCTCACAATTGGACCGATTAATATGGATAACCCAACAGAAAAAGATATCGAAATACTTGAAAAAGTTAGTTTTACAAAATCTTATTTTTTTTATACCTTCAGAGTTTTTAAAGTTTTGTCACATTTTCTTAGTATTCTGTTAGAACTATTGTTTCATATAAGTATTTTAGCATTTAATTACGCTTAAAGCAAAGCTGGCTGAAATCAAAAAAAGGGAACAAGAGTCAGAAATCAACGCTTTAAAGGATTCAAATGAAAAAATTAATGCACCGCCACCTCCTCCACCAATTCAAAGCAAACAGTCTTTGTGGGTGCAGGCTACAACTGAAGAAGGCGCTGTTTATTACTATAATAAGGAAACTAGGTAGTTATTTTCTTACATTTTCGATACAAAATTAATTTCTATTAGTAGGAAAAAAATAACATTTACTTTCAAGAAATAACTAAATTTGTAGTTTGGAAATTTTTCTATAATCACTGATTTGGTGACTTCATTAATATTTCCCAATTTCCACGATGGTCTTATTCATTTTTTGTTTTTCACGCTGGATACTCATTTTGATTACTTGAAATGTTATGATGTTGACAATGAAGCAAAATCATAGATTTTGCAGAAATTTGCTTAATTTTTCAATGCCTCTTCATTCTCCAGAGAATCTGTATGGTCCCTACCTGATGAATCTGAAGGAGGAAATGCCTCTGCTGACACCACAACTGACCGTTCTGATACTCGTGCAACATTCAAAGTGGAAATAGTGAAGTATGTTGGAGGAATGCTGGAACCGATTCGAAAACTTAAATTTGCATCTGCTGATGATTATAAATACGTCTTGCGAAAGGTTAGAAGTTATTGATGAGTTGATTTCTTTAATCTTTGTATTATTTGGATGTTGTGTGCTTCGAAATTCTTTTTCGTCTACTTTGCGACAAAGTGAAATAATCGTTGTTGTGATCAAAATGAAAATGTGATGGATCAGATTTTTTTTTCTTTTGATCATTTACTGCCTTGTAATATATTTCTGTAGGAAGATATGTGCATGTATTTTGGTTATTTAAGAAAAGATGACTGCGAATTTGAAGTTTTCATAAATTTATACTAGTTGTTGAGATACATTTCAATGACGACTAGTCTGTACTTAAATGCACTATCTGCTGTTGTTGGTGTGAGGGTGACGAAAAATGAGATTATCTGTTATCAAAATTGTTTGCTTTGCAGCTAACACACACTATACTGGATAAAGAATTAAAACGTGTTGGTGAAACAGAGCTTAGAGTCACAGAGTCTGTTCGAGATAAAGCACGGAAGTTTGTGGGTGAATATTTAGCACGACTGGGTGATGGTCAGTATTCGCGCAAGAATAAAAACCACAACTCTTACTGACACCATCACTGTAGGCGCATTTGTTTTATGGAATTGTGTTAGGTTGTATTGAAGCTGAGTAGTTCAGATTCACTTACGCAGAAATTTGCGAAATTTTGCTTGTCGCGAAATTTTTCTTGTATAGTTTGTTTGTTTTTCTTTCTCAAAAACATCTATTTCAATTTATTAATGTTTTCACTATATATTGTGGAGCTATTTTAAGCAGAAATTATAATTGTTTAGAATAATAAATACATCACGTATTTCGACTTCATTTGTTCATGTTAGTAGTGCTATCATTTTAATGATGACAATATTAACTGCTTACAGAATTATTTGCATCTATTGAAATATATAGGTATGCACATTTTTTTACAACAAAGTCTATTTCAACGATCCGGTGTAATATTCAGTAATACCTCCATATCTCACTTGAGTTTATGAAGTATAATTATTACTGTATTATATTATGTTTTTCTCTTTTAAAGTCTCTCACGTCGATGTGTGTTTCTGAAGACTGATTGTTCAAACTGCCTGAGCACAAGATTTTTTTTTATTTTTGAAGGTAAAAGTCGATTACTTTTGTAGAAATTCCATGTTGTCGTTAGATCAATTTTTAATTGTATCATTTTCGCTATTTCCGAAAGACATTAAGACGACATTTCATCATTCTGTGATTCTTTGAAATCAAAATATATACTTTTAAGGAAATGACATTTATATTATAAGAAGCTAATTTACAAAGATAGAAAAAGTAATTAGGAAATTACCAAGTATTGTTTTGGGCTTATCTTTTTCGATATTTTGCAATCTTCGGGGAATTGATTGGTAGGTTTCAATATGTTAACTGTATTGGATTTGATCTGTGTTATAGATGCAATAGTAATCTTTACATTTATTGAACAAGAGATATTTCAGTATTTAGTGCTTCTTGTCATTGATTCATTCGTTGATCGTTTCATTATGTTCTTTTCAATGACGAGGTAATAATACAATGATCTGGTTAATTTATTGTTGTATTTATTTCAGAAGTAAATGTTGACTTGTTTTCCTTTCATTCGCTCACCTACGATATCAGTTCATACTTTCTGATTTGTATTGATAAACAAATGTGTCAAAAATGTGCGATTGAGCTTTGCATGATTTACCATCTGAGCTTTTGTGCGTCATCACGAGTGCAGTAAAGAAAGGTTCTTTCATTCCACAATTGCAAGCTCATCACATCGCAGGGCTGTCTGCTTGAATCGCGATAAGAACCGTAGATGATTCAAGTGAAAGTAAGCCGTACTTTTCCTCGGAATAAATTTTACATTGGTCTGTTGCTGGATTGGATGGAGCAAGTGGAAGAGAGGAATTTCAGATCTATACTCTCTCGAGCATTAATCAATTTGAAAGCATATCCATTGAATGTTGAAACATTTGGAGACCTGAAGATTATTCGAGGTACATTTGAACGTTCTCTTGTAAGAGTTATAAGATGACTGCAGAAAATGAGTTTTAAAGCAAGGAAAAGACATAAATTTCGTAAGAGAACTATTTTATGCCAATAAATGAAATAACATGAATGTTAGTGTGGGATAAAGTGGAAGGTCTTTCCGACTATCATTTTGGTTTCATTTGCATATATCACTGCATGAATAAGAATACCGTCCGCTTATCAGCTAATTTTCTTCTTTTTTCAGTAAGTTGTGTTGAATAAAAAGTATTTGCTGTAGGCATTGGTGATCAATTAGCTGAAAAACTTGACGCAGCATGGAATGCATTCTGCTCGGAGAATGTGGGTACTCCAACCCTGAAACAAATTGAACAGATGAAAAGGGGTGATTTCTTTCAGTATCTCAACAGTTCTCAGATATCTAAATCGCAAAATGTCAAGAGATCAAAGAAGAAGATGAATGGTAATATTAGAGATGTGAAGTTCGGTCACAGTCAAATCCGAAAACATTTGAAGAAATCCGAAGCACAGTCAATAGATGAAAATATTTATACCGATGCTCAGGTTTCATGTAGTCAGGTACACCGTGGTAAGAGGGAAGTCGCTCGAGGGCCTGTTGATTTGGGCAAAGATACGGAAACGGTAAATGCTTGTGATGATTCTGAAAGACTTGAGGAAGTCTGCTCTGCATCGCAACAATGTGACATTAGTATTGTTTACAGTCCTTTCACATTCTTCACTTCTCAGGTAATTCTTATGAATTATATGTCGCACGCTAATGCAGTATAATAAAACTTCATTCAGTCGTAATAATTACTATAAAAATTTCAGATTATATTAATTATTGACAATCGTGAGAGTGGAAATCCAGCAAAGTTTCAGAGAATGTGCCGTTTATTCGATAAAGAGGTAATTATTACAAATGATAGGAAGATGGAGAGATACCTGTAAATGATTATAGAAAATTACAAATGATAGTCATCTTACGTTGCTACGTATGCTTGTTTACATATATTTAACACAATATTACAGTACGTTATACCTATATTTGATTATCGTGGTAGCCTTTCAAACACATCATCGTAGAAAAATATGAATAACAGAGGAACAAAGACATATCTAAATATTACTCCAGAATTGTACCAGTGTCACTTTATTGTTCTAATTCACGTTTTCATGCTAGCTAATTCTATTCATCTTGGACTTAGAAATACAGTGCGATTATAGAAAATTCCGTATGAAATGCGTTCGTTGTCTGTAGGCGATTATTTGTGGATATTACGTATGCATGATGGTTCGGAGATGGTACTCGACTACATCGTTGAACGCAAAACAAACAATGATCTGTGGTCAAGCATCAGGCAAAAAAGGCATTATCCTTTAATATTCTTTTAAAAGGCCGAAATTTTTTAGAACTCCTCGGAGTAGCTATGGACTTTTGACTATTTAATATTGACATATCTCTTTTTCAGATATGATGAGCAGAAACAACGTTTAATTTTATCAGGAATCCCGAATATAGTCTATATTCTGGAAGGAACCAGAGTTTTTGAGCCTGCTCTCGAACAAGCGTTGGTTACTACTCATGTGGAAAACCGGTAGTTTCCTTTTCCCAATAATTATTACCTCTTTTTGTCTTTTCAAATTCTATAGTCATGCAGTGCACAGGTTTTTGGTTTACCGTACAAATGATGCTGAGCATACTGCGCTCGTCTTAGCTAGAATTACAGAACGAATGGTAAGGAACGCTTCCACTCGAGAGGTTACTGACCATTTCTTTCATATCAATAATTTAATATGCTGTCCATACCGAAGCGTTTAAAAACTGTAATGATGCTGACCACAAAGTTGTGGGACATGATATCTATTTCATATGAAAATGAAACTTGGATTTAGCGGATGCTTATAACTGAAATTCTATACTTTACAGTCATTTACTTGAGACTCACATTTGCTATTTCCAAAATTTATTCACGTAATCTTTTTTGCTTTGCTTTCAGTTAACAGGAATGAAATTCGAAAATTTTCAAAGAATTTCGAAGAAAACTCAACGTCGAAATGTCAAGGACGTATTTTTGCGACAGCTCCTTGTATGCCCTATGATCAGCGCTCAGAAAGCCTCTGCTATTGTCGATCGTTTTCCATCATTCTTTGCTCTCCGGAACTTCTACTCATCACTTCCAATAGAACAACGAGAAACAGCTTTGTTCGAGAATGTTCCTGGTATAAGCAAAGTAGCAAGCAAAAACATGGCAAAGTTTTTCGCTTAGCTTCACACGATATTTAGTGCATTGAAAATATGTATTGTAAATAGAGATATCAAACCTCTTACGCTCCAGTGTTTATGTTGGACCTACGCATTTTTTTCTCAGTGAACAATTTATTAATCACTCTGACTTTTACAGAGTTTATTAAATAACAAAGCACTTAAGCATAAAGATATTAAGTTAGGACAGCTTCATTACGAATGTACTCTCCGAGATCAGCTTGATGCAAAACAACGATAGATGTTGGATCAGC